CGTTAAATATCAAGGAGAATTATGGTTTGTTGACATGATTTTTTCCGAAGATATGAAGTAGCATATAACAAAAGATCATGGAACACAATGCCAACAAAAGACAGATTCCAAAAACTGCATAAGAATCATTTAAATGCATTTCAGAAGCAGGAAGTAACTTGCGGAATTTAAGTGGTTAAAACAATGAGGTCAGTGTAAAATATTATCCCAGTAAATATTAGACTTCTCATTAATTAGATTCACCCCGGGTTCAGTTTAAACAATACGATTCTCCTTCATTTTCAGCTCTTGAGCGTACGTGGTCTGGCATTACATTGACCAATGCGTACATGTTATCTGCAATGCAACAGAATGTGTGATAAATGACATGTAACAATGGATTATACCAACCGTCCGAGATTCAAGGGAGCAGAAAGCATTTTGAACAGGTACGAACGCACTTCAAGGAATAATTGTTTCTCTTAGATCAAGGTCATTATACGATGGCACAAGGAATAAAATGCGTTTGTCCAGCATCAAGTCCAAGCTGCAGACTGTCTCGTCCTCCTTGGCCAATTCCAGCCCCTTTTCAAGTACATCCAGGGATAAAAGTACATCGGATTTGACCAATTCTTCCAGTGAGTTTATTATCTATTTCAATCAAGAATCACATTACTGCACACAGCAAATCTTCCATTACTAACTTACAAATTGGTCAACTGTTTCAATCCACCACATTATTTTTGATTAATGGCTCTTCATGGGAATAACAGTTTCAAGGTTCTATGACAAAATGATTTCAAGGACAAAATCATTTAGTTTGTGTAATTAAACCACGGTTTAATTAGGTTAATGATTTTTTAAAATAGGGATGGGGTAAAAGTATTGCGCAAGTAGTTTGATCCTCATGAAATAAATCTTGCAGCTAACCCCCGTAACCGAAAAAGAATCACTCAGGTTTCATTCTATTATACCTTAATGGTTACATATCTAAGCGACTGAGTCTGAGATTTGGGTTTGCGTCACAAACACTGAACAATAAATGCTTATCAATGTGGCAGTCCGTTTGAGTAACAGTCTTGGCAGTATCACCTCACTGTGTTTGCACGGTGGTATAGGCAATTCTGAATTATTTGAGGCATTAAGTAGATAAAACCGGAGAATGCACAAAGTATTTTAATATGAGTGGTTCCTTGTATTCCATGGATTTTACTCACACACCATAGTCACCATAATGAACAACTGTTTCTACATTTTCCTAAAAGGTCTTCACGTGATTTGAAATGGAGTCATGACAGAATTAAGTGCATCAAGCTTAATTGTATTGGTACAATAAGATTGTTGAGAACTGTGTTCGATTCACTTCTGAAAACCTTGAAAACACGTTGACCAGCAGTAGTTAGATATGTTCAAATTGTTGTTTGGCAGATGTGAAGTTTGTATGTCGATTGTGAAAAGTTCAGTAGCCTCGGTGGGGTTCGAACCCACGCATGGATGCCGCCTACGCTTTGTACGCGCATGCTCTACCAGCTGAGCTACGAGGCCTCACCGATAGCACTGATCTTTTCACATTCGAATCCCACCTAGGCTACTGAACTTTTCACAATCGACATACAAAGTTAGATATGTGTTTGTCTTTGTTCTCGGTATTAATTTCACCCCGAGGAGAGTAAACACACGTGCAAAATTGTTCAACCGGTACCTCAGACCTTGTCCAGGTTCATAGTGACGCATCATCTCCCTGTCGAGGTGTATCAAGGCTTCCCAATGGACGAATTCGGGGAACCGGCGGTGTGAGATTAGTTCCAGGTCATAGATTTCGTTGCTCGGGATTCACAGACCGTTTCACATTATTTGGTGACTCTCTGCAGCGCATCTGAATCATCCCAATGGATTAGAAATGTACGTAGTACAGTCTGGTGGGACATATTCACCTTGAAAACGTAGTCTTACTAAACGATTGACAAGGACCGACTCTTGATCTATTGCATATTACTTTGAAAATCTCTTAAAACACCGTTTGTATTTGGACAATTTCACTCGAGGCAGATCTTCAGATAAAATCTCCACAAGAGCGTTATTTTCTATCACTTGTGATGACGTCTAGATCTCAGCCTTCTGTTGCGGGACGTTTATCCCCGTACATTTTGAGCATTCCTTTTGCACACCTACGAAACCTGGTCTATCTGTGAGAAAAACATTTACTGTCTTTGGTTATCACTGCTTCTAACTTGGTTCACGCATCGCATGAGCAACGATGACGTCCTCCAAAAAATGTTTGAATCGCTTGTTCATTGACTGCCCGCTACGTTCTCGGTTTCTACCGCTTCCGATGGCTCGGTGATAACAGCCATGCGACTACGTTGATATGTTTCGTTTACCTGAGCAGATGGCAGTTTAAAACCTGGGATCAGAGTTTGAACAAATCTATATCAACACGAACCATGGGGGGTGCTTCTGGCTCTCGGACTGGAGCCTCAAAGATGAGCACTTCTGATTGAGAAATTCGCTCGATCGTGCACATTTTTTATGAGAAGCTGCCACATTGAGCATCGGTTCATTTTCTTTTCAACAAACACATTTGATACACTCCGAGTTAAAGTCAGTGTTAATATGATACATACTTCCAAGCGGTTGATTTTCTTATCCCACAGGACTTTCGCACAACTTGACCAACTTACCGATCATAAATCGATGAGGGATGCCACTGATTTTCATTATTTGATGCACTGCTACGGATTTTCAAATTTAAGCCACACCAATGTTTAATCCAGTTTGTAGTTGAAAGAATCAACTGTGGGTACAGAAACACCGTGAGGTGATAGGGGATTCGAAATACTGCAAACTCTGAGGGCAAGTGAAAGACGCCGGCATTCCTTTCGACGGTTTAGAGCACTTATTTGAGTGCGTTCTCCTCTGAGGTGAATGTTGGGTGACAAAATGAAAAGTGAACGACATGGGTGATCAGGGTCTTCCATTAGTTGGTACACCAACATCAAGTTCCCTCGAATTCAGCAATACTGCGTGGAGTATAGCCCCAATGATTCCAGTCTTTACACATAAGCTTTGGAATGCAGTCCGTGGACCATTTTGGCTGCCATTCTTTGTGGACGTTCTAAAATCTTACAATCGCATTGCAACCATGGATTCCACACTTGAATGTCTTATTCAATGTCGGGGTCGAATGTAGACCGATAATAAACGTGGGAACAGTATGGATTTGAATTAGTTAAATACTCGCCTTTAGCAAGCCAACGTCTTGCAGCTGCGGACGATATCCTGGAACAGTTTATTGAACAACTTGAATCGTCTCAAACGATGACACCGAGTGCCTTCTCATTCGATGTATATTTCTGCATTACTGTTAAGGATCATCTTGTTTTCTAGATACTTAACAATACTATTATCGTAAATAAGGTCATTCAGTTATGGGAAAAACATTTTTTGTTTTATACAATATCTCCAATAAAACAAACGGTTATAATCCGTACAGTGTCCTTGTATGTTTCCAACGTCTTGACACCGATCATATAGTATAACATTTGCAACTCGAAATTTGATCATGGGTCCACTACAAGGCGGAAGATGATTGAATCTCATCGAATCTTCACTTACTGTGTTTTGATGGTAATACGAATAAAATAACGAAATACTGAATGATCGCATTCATTCACTGATTTTGGACAGTTCGGTGTTTCAAAACCTGATTGAACCGCAACGTGAGCGCACCGATGGTTGGAGTACGAGCAACTTGGGATGAAAGAGAGTTCTACATAGGACATACTCAGATGCCGAATGAGTAACTCAGCCAGTCTAGTCCACTCTTTTTGAACAACATTTTAAAGGGATTTCTCCGGAGGTGATCATTCCTGGCTAGTTTCTGCAGAGTACTATACCGGTGGTGAGGTCGCTACCGTATTTGCTATACGGATATCACATCTCCCCGAATTCGGCGGTAATGATATGAACAGAGTACTTTTGAAGCGAACGCACGTTACTAAAATATATATAGACAACGTAAAAAATATTGCTCGAAGGTAGTGAAATGATGCGGCTCATGAATTATTGTCACGAGCCTTACCCACACAGAATGAAGTAGCTTGAACTTAGACTGGAAATAGATTGGTGAAACTCCGTTTGACGAACAGCGAAACGTATGTCACGTTGTCAATAATAATTTGATACAAAATGCCACAGGTAACGTGGTTCAGTGATTTGATTCGAAGTTGATTTTCATGCTGATTGTCTGAGTGTTACTTTTGCCGCGCACTTGGTAAAACAGACAACCTGCCTGGAACAAAACGTAAACTTCATCTTCTTTGCTGTGTGATTGGTAAATGTTTTAACCCATGCCCGATTTTTCTCAATTGTCTGATTCTATACCTTGCGCGAAAACATCAGGGTATAGCAATCTGGATAATAAACATATCGGTCCGTGATTTTTTCGTTGGAGTTCAAAGGTTACAAAGGTAAATTTTCTTGAGGGGCTCAAAACTGGGTCCTTCGACTCACAAAAGATACATCCATGAAAGTATTTCTTAGACTGAGTACGAGGCCACGTTCACTCTCGAACAGACTAGATATTTTTGAGGACCCAGAAATGCGTGATAATAGAGGAACATCTAAAACATTAAACTGATTAGATTGGCCTCAAAAAATGTTGCATGGATGATTCAGTGAAATTGTCTTTGCGTGCGTATGTTTAAGCAGTAACAGGTCAAATTACGCCCGGAAAATTTGAATGATCCAAGGGTTTCATTTCAATCGCACTCAGCCAGTGTTGTTTTGATTATATGCGTCTACTGAGCTGAAGCGATACGCATTAAACGTGAAAGCATACGAAATGAGGTGTATCTCTAAATTGGAATCCTTGTTTATCTTTCCTGGTCCGAGAGACATTATGTATGCTTTATGTGTATGATATATGGAAATCTATTTCACACCTAGACAATTTTAGTCATAGCCATAAATTAGTTGGTCTGAGAGCAGATAGAATAAATCCTTTAAAAAATACGCTGGATATGATGATAGTACCTACCACCTGGTGTTCCGGCCGAATAGCTTTTCAAGAAGTGCAGTTGAAAGGTGACTGGCTCAAATCCAAGACAATCACCCTCTATGCTAGGGCTTTCGGAGTAATTGACATGCATAGTATGTCTGTCTGTGTGTGAATAAATGAGAGTTGTTAAGCTGTTTGCCGGTGCAAACTGTGGCTGGTTCGCTACCATGCACCTACACTTCTCGGGTGGCGCAGTCCCTGTCCAGTAACTATCACGTCTCATGTCAATCATCCTGATAAAATGATTTCAATTAAATCTGTTCATTTTTCACTTACATCTCTCCTGCCATCACGCATGATTAACTGTAAAATTTCGTGTATTTAGCTGATCGAACACCCTTCAGGACAAGTCGTTTTTAAGATCGACGGATGGGGTATTTTTCATCAAAAATGGCACAATTTAGAGTAACCAATCAGACCTCTTGAGGCAACAGTGTTTTATTTTCAATCAGGGTTCTAACGGGACTGACTGTCTCCAGCTAAAACTCTGAGATTAAGGTGATTGTTTTTGACAAATGCCTATGTAAGCCTTCCTTTTTATCGACTCTCACGTAGATTGCTAGGAATGACATAGTTATATACTCTCTGCTTACGGTCTGTTTCATTTGGGGAGCAGAATCTTTAAGCAATATTGCTTACAATGTTAAAATTGAAAAATTGATTTATTCATTTGGTTCCAGTGGGCTGCTGAAAAAGATTTTCAACTCGGTTGGCATGTTCATTAGCGAGTTGCTATAGATTTGACCCGTTTATTTACCGCCATAAGTCTGTGAGCGAGTAGGTGAATCTGTCTGAACAGTCTCCTAGTGGCAAATGGACTGTTGCACATGGGTGTGAAACGGTTTGCAACACCGATGCCACTCAACAAGGTCAAGACCACTGTTCAGATAACTTTATAGAATTCCTTTCTTTGTGTGTGAATCAATGTAAAAATATAAGGACAAACTTCAAAGCCTTTACAGCGAAGGACACCTTATGGTGTTCCTTATTCCTGGTTAGGAAGCCAGGCGTCGCTAAAGCTGCCTCGTGATTACTATGAGACGGTAATTACAGTCTCAAACGGCGTCTGAAGTACTTGAGTATGACGTCAGGTTGTTGGGTGACATTTTTATTCCGTTAATCCGTCCTTATTCACGGTGACCACATTTCTTCACACAGAGTTCTCAAGTTCAACGGAAAATACGGCACCGTTTACGATTAATTTGAAAATTAGTTACCTATTGAGATGAGACAGCAACCTTAAGAGTTTGAGGGTGTTATCAGGTTCTTCCCCACACGATTGTGATGACCGAAACTAAGAATATACGAGAGCATAGTGAACATACACCGATTTAGTACTCGCAATAATCTCTTGCGAAATTTTTTTCCCAATTGGTCTAAATTAGTCGCTTCAGATCCATTTTGCCCCTACTTGCTCACCTACGAGGCCGCACACACACACACAATAGCACACATGCTTGTATGCCACTCGAATCACATGCATTCTTCACTCACACCATTTACTGGTTGTAACGTGAAACATACTTTTATTTCGCTGACTGTGTCCACATCAAGCGACCTACGGATTGCCTATGTCGTTTACAATTCATTGAACACACGAATCACTTGTTTTCATGTCTCCATGAAGTAAATTAAACTACTATTTTCAATTAAAAGTTTTACTGACATGGCCTAGCAGTGGGTATTGGTGGTGGTGGTGGTGGTGGAGGGGACGCTATCAGATAGTTGTTCTATTCTTTTGGCACCTTTTTCAACAGAGTATCAAACTGCGCATCATGGAACCCCGCACGCAACTTAGGTACGTTCATTCAGCAAATATGATCCAGTTCGAAATTTTTCATCCCACAAAACATCGGTCATAAAAGCAGATCCCCTAACTAGAGTAGATTCTATGAAGTATTTAGGAGTTACCATCAATATAAACTTAAAGTTGGCATCCCACATTTAAAACCCTGTACAGAAACTTCGTGGATTATCTTTTCAATTGCCGAGTCTTTGGCAGTTCATCCCACAACCAAAAATCATCTCGCTTTTTGTTTATCAATGTGTTTTTCCTGTTCTTCTTTATTGTTCCCCGCTGGTTTTTGCTGGTGTACTTCAGAAAGACTTCAAACATTCTTCGTCGCTATTTGTCGATTATTAGTCGCGTGTTTTATACCTGTTGATGATCCATCTGAAAAACTGTATGAACTTCACTTGCCCGCATATGTAAC